AGTCTTAGCACTAATATTACAGTTCATCTGTATATTACTGTAAGAGAATATACAGTATTATATTACTGTATTACTGTAAGAGAAAATATTTTCCTTCAATCTAGTGTGTTTTTACAAAAATTGGTATCTAAAAATTCCTCAGAATACTCTTAAATTACCACAAACTTGGTGGGTTGTTTTTTGTTTTTTTTTTGAGATGGAGTCTTGCTCTGTCACCCAGGCTGGAGTGCAGTGGCACGATCTCAGCTCACTGCAACCTCCGTCTCCCAGGTTCAAGCGATTCTGTCTCAGCCTCCTAAGTAGCTGGAACTACAGGTGCATGCCACCACGCATGGCCAATTTTTTGTATTTTTAGTAGAGACTGGGTTTCACCATATTGGTCAGGCTGGTCTCAAACTCCTGAGCTCAGACGATCCACCTGCCTCGGCCTCCCAGAGTGCTGGGATTAGAGGCATGAGCCACTGTGCCCGGCCTAACTTGGTGGGTTTTAAAACAACAGAGTCATTGGGTTTTAAAACAACAGAGTCATTTTCTCATAGTTTCGGAGTCCAGAAGTCTGAAATCAAGACGCCAGTCTCATGCCGTGCTCTTTCTCGAGGCCCAAGGGGAGAATCTTTTTTTTTAGATGGAGTCTCCTCTGTCGACCAGGCTGGAGTGCAATGGTGCAGTCTCGGCTCACTGCAACCTCTGCTTCCTGGGTTCAATCAATTCTCTCGCCTCAGCCTCCCAAGTAGCTAAGATTACAGGCACACACCACCACACCTGGCTAATTTTTGTATTTTTGTTTTTTAGCAGAAGTGGGGTTTTGCCATGTTGGCCAGGCTGGTCTCAAACTCCTGACCTCAGATGATCTGCCCACCTCGGCCTCCCAAAATGCTGGGATTACAGGCATGAGCAGCCGTGACTCGCCTATTATTATTTTTTTGAGACAGGGTCTTGCTCTGTTGCCCAGGTTGGAGTGCAGTGGCACAATCATAGGTCACAGCAGCCTCAAACAACTGGGCTCAAATGCTCCTCCTGTGCACCATCATGCCTGGCTAAGTTTTCAATTTTGTGCAGAGACCAGGTCTTGCTATATTGCCAAGGCTGATCTTGAACTCCTAGTGTCATGCAATTTCTGCCTTGGCCTCCCAAAGTGCTGGGATTACAGGCACGAGCCACTGCACCTGGCCAGTTTCTTTTCTTTTCTTTTTTTTTTTTTTTTGAGACGGGGTCCTACTCTGTTGCCCAGGCTGGGAGTGCAGTGGCACAATCCTGGTGCACTGCAGCCTTAAACTCCTGGGCTCAGGTGATCTTCCTGTCTCTGCCTCCCAAGTACCTGGGACTATAGGTAGGCATCACCATGCAAGGCTAATTATTTGTACAGATGGGGTCTCACTATGTTGGCCAGACTGGTCTCAAATTCCTGGCTTCAGGCAATCCACCTCAGCCTCCCAAAGTGTTGGGATTATAGGTGTAAGCCACTATACCCAGCTCAGTTTCTTTTCTTTTTTTTTTTTTTTGAGACGGAGTCTCGCTCTGTGCCCCAGGCTGGAGTGCAGTGGCCGGATTTCAGCTCACTGCAAGCTCCGCCTCCCGGGTTTACGCCATTCTCCTGCCTCAGCCTCCCGGGTAGCTGGGACTACAGGCGCCCGCCACCACGCCCGGCTAATTTTCTTGTATTTTTAGTAGAGACGGGGTTTCACTGTGTTAGCCAGGATGGTCTCGATCTCCTGACCTCGTGATCCGCCCGCCTCGGCCTCCCAAAGTGCTGGGATTACAGGCTTGAGCCACCGCGCCCGGCCCTCTTTTTTTTTTTTTTTTTGAGACGGAGTCTCGCTCTGTCGCCCAGGCTGGAGTGCAGTGGCCGGATCTCAGCTCACTGCAAGCTCCGCCTCCCGGGTTTACGCCATTCTCCTGCCTCAGCCTACCGAGTACCTGGGACTACAGGCGCCCACCACCTCGCCCGGCTAGTTTTTTTTGTATTTTTTAGTAGAGACGGGGTTTCACCGTGTTAGCCGGGATGGTCTCGATCTCCTGACCTCGTGATCCGCCCGTCTCGATCTCCCAAAGTGCTACGATTACAGGCTTGAGCCACCGCGCCCGGCTAGTTTATTTTCTTCTAAGGTATGAGTTGATCATCTGTTTTCTTCCTGTCCATGGCACTAGTGATGTTAATTATAGCTCTGAATACACCTTAGAGCTTATAGCTTAACAAGAGGCACAATAAACATGTGACTATGAGCACCCTTTTTTTTTTTTTTTTTTCCAAGATGGAGTCTCTGTTGTCAGGCTGGAGTGCAGTGGCATGATCTCGACTCACTGCAACCTCCGACCCCTGGGTTCAAGCGATTCTCCTGCCTCAGCCTCCCGAGTAGGTGGGATTCCAGGCACGAGCCACCACACCCAGCTAATTTTTTGTACTTTTAGTGGAGATAGGGTTTCACCATGTTGGCCAGGATGGTCTCAATCTTCTGACCTCGTGATCTGCCCACCTCAGCCTCCCAAAGTGTCAGGATTACAGGCGTGAGCCACTGCACTCGGTCTGAGTACTGTTAAATAGTATTATCCCTTAAAAATCCTGCCTTCGGCAATTCCACACTAATTAAGAAGAGTGTTCAGATGTGAGGCCCAACCCAGGGGGATTCTGATAGTCCACACGTCTCTTGGAGAGAGGAATCATAAAAGAGCTCACAACTCCATCTCCATCTTGAGTTCAGTTCACATCTTTCTCTCCAGTGGTAGTATTCCTATGTCTCACATTTCTTTCATTGGATTCTTCTTTGGAGGAGCTAAGGGCAGAACCAAGCTAAAAAACCGGAGCCTTTTATTGTCTTCATCACTGGTTCCAGAATTAGCAACCTATGTTTCTATCCTCCCAAACCTTTCAGTTATCTCAGCACGCTAGCATGAAGAAATATGTGAATGAACTAGCATGAAGCAAATAACATTGAGTGATTCCTTCTCTTGGCCACCCTCCGCCCCTCATTGTTGTCTTCTAGACACCAGCCAATTGAAAAGCGGAACAAAAACACTTGGATCATAGGCTAACTCCTACAAGATTGATCCCTGGTGCTGATACAAGTATGGACATCCTGACTTGCTATTTCTGGGTACCTGCACTAGGAATGGCAGCTGGATCAGAGTGGCCTGGACTGGGGGCAGTCTTTAGCTTTATTAGGAACACAGGGCCAGATCAATAATCAATTAGAGTTGGCAGGGGACCAGGGACTTGGAGCATAAACAAGTCATGAAGGGCTAAGAATTCAGTTCAGCTCCAAAGTCTCCTGGAAAAAGGACCCGAAGGATGAGGAGGAGCCAGTAGACTATTTGGAATAAGGCATGTGGCATGTGGCCTGAGAGAGAACAAGAAGTTCTTTCACAGAAGGGAGTAGGGACTGCTGGCAAAAAGGGGACCCCATAAAGTCCACAAAGCCCTTCTGTGATACATGCTTTGCTGGAGAGTCTGGCTGGAAAATGGGAGCAGGGCCAAGATTCCATGGAGGCCAGAGGCCTAGGCCAAGTCAACCCCACATCCCCTAAGTCACCTTTCTTTGAGCATGTTCTGTGGAACAAGTCCCATAGTAAAATACCAAAAACCTGAGAGTTCAGTTGTGCATGTGTACCTTTTTCCTTTCATAAATATTCATGACTCCTCCTATAGCTTATTAAATATATATATTCAGCCACCTTGTTCAACATAAATTCCTGTCCCCTTTGCCCCTCACTCAGAGTGTGTTTCTGACTTCTGGCCAGAAGCTCTACTTCCCAACTTGTCAGAATGGCCACCCTGCAGACTGCAACCCTTTGAGAAATAAAGCTCTCCTTTCCAATTTTTAAAAATAAAAAAAACCTGACAGTAAAGGAATGAAGTTGCCTCTGTTCTAATCTGCATTTCCCAAAAATGATTTGACAATATTTTTTTTTGGAGTCTCACTGTGTTGCCCAGGCTGGAGTGTAGTGGCACAATCTCGGCTCACTGCAACCTCTGCCTCCCAGGTACAAGCAATTCTCCTGCCTCAGCCTCCCAATAGCTGGGATTACAGGCACCTGCCAACACACTCGGCTAATTTTTGTATTTTTGGTAGAGATGGGGTTTCACCATGTTGGCTGGGCTGGTCTCAAACTCCTCACCTCAGGTGATCCACCCACCTGGTACTCCCAAAGTGCTGGGATTACAGGTGTGAGCCACCGCACCCAGCCGACAATGAAGATTTTACAAATACTTTCCAAATTCATTTTGGGAAAAGCTAGTTTCAGCCCTTTCCAAATGTAACTCGTTGCCTCTGGGGAGCCCTCTCAAATTGCTTTAACTTACTCATCTCCCCTTCCTGTCTTGCAGCCTTTGACCGTATAGGAACCCATGTGTCATGTTCTGAACCAGTCAGTCTGTAAGGCAGGTGCACAGAGCAGCTGCGTCCAGCTTGCCCTGGAAAGAACAAGTACCATGTGGCAGAAGAATAGGGGCGGCCTTGCCAGGCTCTGCGGCCCAGCCCTGGTGGGTTCCCCGGAGATGACTGTGTGAGGAAGGGTGGTATGACTTAGCAGTTTCTCTCAGCTACAGCTCCAAATAGGCTCTAGGAAAACATCACTCTGGTCACTGTGCCTTCCCCTTACAAAGGGCAGTGAAGGTCTATGGTTCCAACTACAAAAAATAATAATATCCTATTCCCAGAGTACTATGCAAACACTTTCAGAGTCATTCTCAGGGCACCATCCAAGCAGACAGGGCCTATTACCAACCCTTACTTATGTGAGAGAAGTAACGTCACACTACTTTGCTACCCTGGGCATATCCACCCGCAGCTGGGCCTCAGACCAACTGATCTTGGGCTAGAGTTGGGGACCTGGACCTAGCAGGTCTTAGCATCTGTGTCTGCACTTGACCTGCCTTTAACCTGGAGGTAATGCTTGTGTTCTCCATCTGCCACAAGCAGTCCCAACAGCTCAAGCCAACCTTCCAATTAGTCATGTGGGGCCTTTTTTGCAGGCTCCTGGCTACATAATACTCACTCACACCATTTTGCACTGGAATAATTTTTATTTTTTTCCTTGGCAAAAAGTCAAGTGCTACATTTTTAAAACCAGAAAATCTCAAACAATCAAATGCATTACCCATCACAGAAGAGGGTCTGGCAATAGTACAAAACATCCTACTGAAGATTTTTTTTTTTTTTTAAATATACAAGTCAGTTTAAAATGATAGAAGTTCTGTGAGAACTAAGAAATCTACAGCCTGTAGTTTAATAATAGAAAAAAAATTAAGACAATTAAAAGATCTATAGCATCCAGCATTTTGCTTAATTCCCTGTTTATAGCACCTATTTCTCTAGGTTCGAAGATGAGAATTCCAGAACCTGTGGTATGTGCTGTGTAACAAGTTAGGGTGGACTTGCTGTCTCTCCTCTCCAGCAGCCCCTCACCATTAAAAGGAGGATATATATATTATTTTTTTCCAATTTCCCTACTTACACCCAGAGAAGAGGGGGACAACTGGGAGAGCAAGTTAAAAAACTGGGGTGCAGGAATAAATATGACTTTTCCTTTCCCCACAATGGGATGTTGACAGAAAAGCAGAGTATGTGCTTAGAGGAATTCGTGGGTGGGAACAGCTGTTATCTTTGACATGATGTGTAAAAATCAAGGAACAAGTGGACATCACAGTCAGTTGCCTGCAAGTTAAAAAACCCCAGACTAAATAGACAGTTCAAGGGAGGAACAGACAAATTACTAATCACATCGATGCTGTTACATGCACAATGATGCTGACTGCAGGCCAGCCTGTCACCATCTCAGGGCTAAGCCAGCAGAGGAGGGGTGGCTTCAACCCCAAGTCCCGCTGCAGTGGGAAAATGAATATTCCACACATGAAGCACTCACTACACACAGATAAACCCCCTGCTCACCCCCACCTTCTTAGACTTAACCCAATTTAGAAAATAAAAGCAAAACCCATTGAGGAGATTGGAAGAATGGCAGAGAGGATTCTCCTCAAAGCCAAGAGGACTATGGATGTGAACCTTAGCAGACTTGAGACTCCCAGCTCCAGGCCCCTTAAACACCAGATCAGGTCTTGAGGGGATGGAGAGAGAAGCTAGGATGGGGATTCTCTTTACCAAGTCCCATGAAGCCTTTTGCAGCCTCTAGAGCTGAACCTGGATGGTGAGTCTGATGTTTTAGGGGTGTGGCTACTGGCTAAGCAGATGTGAGGGTGGGAAGGGGAAGTGACACCAGCTTCCCACACGGGGGACACACAGGTGGGAAGACAGGTAGGGCTGGATCACTTTGCAGTCCTGGCACGGGAGGCCCCAAGCAGCCTGCAATCTAACTCAAAAGATTTTCCCAGTGGTAATTTCTTTTCCTTTCTGTTTTTACTTCCTATTATCAGTGTTGTTAGACTTTAAAAAACAAGTTACAGACTAGTCCCAAAGCTGGACTCTGTGAATAAAGTTGTTTCTTTTATAAATATTTTAATTACAAGTAATCCTCACTCCAGGTAATTTCAGTGACACACAGTACCTACAGGCACACAAGATCACACACACACACAGACAAGATCTCTGTCACACACACACAGCTCCCAAACTTTCACAGAAAGTCTGACAGCAACCATATAATTATAAAGGAGCCCTACCTCTCAAGAGTGAAGTAAGGGTGAGAATGACTATGTCATTTCAGCCTAAAGAAGCCAGAGAGGGGAGAATGTGTGTCACTTAAAGAAAAATAGGGATTAGCAACAATGTTTGGTTGAAAAGCCAGAATAAAAGATAGTAAAATTTTGATTACTAAAGGGGAAAACAAAAAACCAAACAACCTTCAGATTTCTGTACAGAGCTTCTTCCTATTAACTGCCTAAACTATAGGCAAACTTTGGTGTTCCCACTAAAACACAAGAGCCTCACACAATTAGGAAAAAAAAAAATCAGAAGAAACAAGGAAACTGAGGATGGAAGTTAGTGTAAATCTCTGCATTTGGGGAGTTGTCATTAACTCCAGAGCCCAGCATAGTTTCCATGGAGCCCTGAAGGGAGGGGACCTCCTGCCACAAAGAGTTTCGTTCCAGACGAGTCGTAGCAGTGGGTGTAAACAGCATTGGGGAAGAAGTCAATGTCTGAAAAGTAATTCCTCCAGGTTTCATCATGGTTCTATGGGAAGAGAAAGAGACTACAATTAGCACCTCTAGCCATGGGGCAGGAAAAGGGGGAGGAAGGGACAGGAATGCTTTCTGGTCTCCTTAAGGGAACAGGGTTTTACAGGTACAACCTCATGTCAGGAGATTCACTGGTTGATTCTCATGGGAATCGGGGCCTCATTTTTCCAACTAAACATTAGGGAAGAACGGAGCAGCTGAAGAATTGCTATACAAGGCTCAGTTCTTCTCAGCAGAGTTAGAACCAAAGTTCTATTTTCCCTCCACCCGCTAGGCGCAGGAGAAAGAACCAAACACTTGAATAATTCACTGGAGGTAGGGCGCACTGGTTCACGGCTGTAATCTCAGAATTTTAGGAGGCCAAGGTGAGAGAATCACTTGAGCCCACGAGTTTGAGACCAGCCTGGGCAATGTGGCGAGACCCCATCTCTACTAAAAAAAAATAAATTAGCCAGGCATAGTGCATATGCCTGTGGTCCCAGCTACTTGGGAGGCTGAGGCAGGAGGACTGCTTGAGCCCAGGAGTTCAAGGCTACATACAGTAAGCTATGATCACACTACTGCACTCCAGCCTGGACAACACAGTGATGCTGTCTAAAAAAAAAAAAAAAATTCACTGACAGCTGTGGTGGGAGGTTCCTCTATTATGCCTTGGGGAAAATCCTAAGTCAACCAGTGTGTTTTACTGGGCCTCGGTTTTCCCACAGGTAACGTAGAGACACAAAAGCAAGATCAGGGGGAAGTCTTCTCCTGTTCCAAGGAGTACCTTTTACTGGTGAAAAAGTGTGAGTAGATGGTGTGTCAGTGGGGGCTGAGGGGTAGAGGAAGATAATTTTTCTGTTACTGTGTAGCAGTCATCTCAGGCAGGGGCTTACTCACCAGCCAGCCTTTGCCAGTGGTTAGTTTCAGATTCTCCCCTGCTAGTCTGGGCTTGGACCCATAACAAGCTGAGAGCCTCTCTTCCAGAAATCTCTGAGCTCGGATGTCATAGAACAGCAGGGAGCCCTGCCCAGTTCCCACAGTGATGATGTGCTCATAGAAACTCACGGACCGGATTCCTGAAAGAGAGAAAAGTAAAAGGCAGTGAGGTGGGAAAGAATATTTGCTTGACTGTCTGCTAGCCTGAATTTCTGCAACACTGAGTTTCCACTGTCCACCCCGCTCCCCTCAACGTATCAGACAGTGCTTTTCCAATGGCAAGTTAGCTCATGCAAAAGCAAAGAGAATCCTGATGCCAACCTGCCTATCCACACACTAACAGAAACCGTCCAAGAAGCCTTGGAAAAGTGTCAGATTCCCGATGATGCTCAAGATGCTTTTGACTGAAGACCGTAAGTACTCAGAACTTCCTTGCTTCCTCTCAACTCACTCTGGAGTCATCTTTCATAACTCTAAACTTTTCTCCATCATATGTTTCCAATCTACACTGCAACTCAAGGTAATCTGCATATTTATAAATCATTAAATCATCAAGGATTCCTTATATTTGACCTAAAACCGCTACTGCGGCAAATGCAAGAAGTCTTTTTTTATTTTTTGAGATGCAGTCTCACTCTGTCGCCCAGGTTGGAGTGCAATGGCGCGATCTTGGTTCACCGCAACCTCTGCCATCCAGGTTCAAGTGATTCTCCTGCCTTAGCCTCCCAAGTAGCTGGGATTACAGGCTCCCGCCACCACACTTAGCTAATTCTTGCATTTTCAGTACAGACAGGGTTTCACCATGTTGGCCAGGCTGGTCTTGAACTCCTGACCTCAAGTTATCTACCTCGGCCTCCCAAAGTGCTGGGATTACAGGCATGAGCCACTGTGCTCGGCCACAGTGCAAGAAGTCTTTATCTGGTATTAGATGTTTTGAGAGTGGCAAAAAGCCCAGAATTAAGTACCCAAAGAAGTTTAAGACAAGTCATGTAATTACTTTAGATCACAAGGAAAACACATCTGCTGTACTTGGGGATCAAATCAGTGCTTGGGATATGAAGATGTCTCTTGGCATATAAGAACTGGATAATATTTGTGGAACCAGTATTTCCTTACTAGGTATGAAAATTACCCCCATTAAACAGTACCAAAAATCTCTTAAAACTTTTCATTGCATACATTATTACAGCCAAACCTATTTAGTCTTTTCTTTTTTTTTTTTTTTTTTGAGACAGAGTCTCTCTCTGTTGCCAAAGCTGGAGTGCAGTGGCTCAATCTTGGCACTGCAACCTCCGCCTCCCAGATTCAAGTGATTCTCCCACCTCAGCCTCCCAAGTAGCTGGAACTACAGGCACCCGCTACCACCCCCAGCTAATTTTTTTTGTATTTTTAGTAGAGATGGGGTTTCACCATGTTGATCAGGCTGGTCTTGAACTCCTGACCTCAGGTGATCCACCTGCCTCGGCTCCCAAAGTGCTGGGATTACAGGCATCAGCCACTACGTCTGGCCCTATTTATTCCTTTCTCTACTACTCTCATTATACATTATTATTTGTTCTAAAATATAAGCATTTTAACTATAATTAAGAAAAAATAGGCTGGGCGTGGTGGCTCAAGCCTGTAATCCCAGCACTTTGGGAGGCTGAGACGGGCGGATCACGAGGTCAGGAGATCAAGACCATCCTGGCTAACCCGGTGAAACCCCGTCTCTACTAAAAAATACAAAAATCTAGCCGGGCGCAGTGGCGGGCGCCTGTAGTCCCAGCTACTCGGGAGTCTTGAGGCAGGAGAATGGCGTAAACCCGGGAGGCGGAGCTTGCAGTGAGCTGAGATCCGGCCACTGCACTCCAGCCTGGGCGACAGAGCGAGACTCCGCCTCAAAAAAAAAAAAAAAAAAGAAAAAGAAAAAATAGGCTGGGCACGGTGGCTCAAGCCTGTAATCCCAGCACTTTGGGAGGCCCAAGGCGAGTGGATCACTTGAGGTCAGGAGTTCCAGACAGGTCTGGCCAACGTGGTGAAACGCCATCTCTACTAAAAACAAAAATTAGCTGGGCATGATGGTACACGCCTGTAGTCCCAGCTGCTCAGGAGGCTGACGCAGGAGAATCACTTGAACCTGGGAGGCAGAGGGTGCAGTAAGCTGAGATCATGCCACTTTACTCCAGCCTGGGTGACAGAGCTAGACTCATCTCAAAAAAAAAAAAAAGAAATAGCTGGGCACAGTGTATCATGCCTGTAATCCCTATAATCTTAGCACACATTTTGGGAGGCTGAAGTGGGTGGCCCAAGAGTTTGAGACAAGTCTGGGCAACATGATGAGAACCTGTCTCTACAAAAATACAAAAATTAGCTGAATGAGGTGGTGGACGCTTATAGTCCCAGCTACTCGGGAGGCTGAGGTGGGAGGACTGCTTGAGCCTGGCAGGTGGAAGCTGCAAAGAGCCAAGATTGCGCCACTGTCCTCCAGCCTGGCCAAGAGAGTGAGGACCCTGTCTCCAAAAAAAAAAAAAAAAAAAACCAGACCCAAACAAAAGCTACTTTGCAGTATCTGCATAGGAATAAACACTACTTGAAAAAGAGAGGGTGAACTATAATCCACAGTGTGCCTTTTAGGACTCTCATGATAACACAGCCATAGTTTTGCATGAGAAAATGAGATAAAGTGAGATAAAGAAAATACAATTTGTTAAGTTGGATTCTGGTCCCTAGCTCTTCCCCCATTAAGCTGTGTGATGCTGGGGAAGTTATTTAGCTGGCTCTAGGTCTTATGTGTAAAACTATCTTTTGTCATCTGCTTCCCATAGGGTTCTTGGTATGATGAAATGGGATGTCAGAAAAAGGTATTCTGAAACCTTCAAAGTACACTAGAATAAGTATTTTTTCCCTCTTCAATAAAGAATGAGGGTGCTCTTATAGAGAACATGCTATAAAAGATTTGAGGTGGAAGCTTAATTTACCCAGTGGTCAGAACTAAACTCAGTATTTTCTTCAGCCTCATTGAGGTTTGTCACACAATATATGTCACATAAAGTATACAATTTGAGGTTCTAACATATGTATATATCCATGACATCATAACCACAATCTACATAATGAACATACTCATTACCCTGAGGTTTCCTCATGCCCTTTGTAAACTTCCTCCTTATCCCACCATGCCACATCTTAGCATAAATGGAATTTTAGTTCAGGCAGGACCACAGCAAAAAAATTACCACAGGACAGAAAGTAGGGTTCTCAGCCAGGTGCAGTGGCTCACACCTGTAATCCCAGCACTCTGGGAGGCCAAGGTGGGTGGATCACAAGGTCAAGAGATCAAGGTCATCCTGGCCAACATAGTGAAATCCTGTCTCTACTAAAAGTACAAAAATTAGTTGGGCATGGTGGTGTACGCCTGTAGTCCCAGCTACTCGGGAGGCTGAGGCAGGAGAATCACTTGAACTCGGAAGGCAGAGGTTGCAGTGAGCCGAGATCGCGCCACTGCACTCCAGCCTGGTGTCAGAGCGAGACTTTGCCTCAAAAAAAAAAAAAAAGAAAGAAAGAAAGAAAGAAAGTAGGGCTTTCTAAAAGAACATGGAAATTACTAATATCCTCACTAGTGGCTTCCAACAAAGGCTTCTGTGGCCACACATTTGTCTGTGGTGTTTCAAAGCCTAGTGCCCTTTTGTGTCACTCCCCTCTCACCCCTTTTCTTTTTTTTTTTTTTTTGAGACAGGTTTTCGCTCTCGTTGCCCAGGCTGGAGTACAATGGTGCGATCTCAGCTCACTGCAACCTCTGCTGACCAGGTTCAAGTGATTCTCCTGCCTTAGCCTCCCGAGTAGCTGGGGTTACAGGCATGCGCCACTGTGCCTGGCTAATTTTGTATTTTTAGTAGAGACAGGGTTTCTCCATATTGGTCAGGCTGGTCTCAAACTCCTGAACTCAGGTGATCCGCCTGCCTCGGCCTCCCCAAGTGCTGGGATTACAGGCGTAAGTCACCGCGCCCAGCCGTCACTCCCCTTTGTGAACACATTTTTGTATGTTCCATACAGAGCACTATACCTGTTTGGAAACCAACAAAGAAACTGAAAGTCAGAACCCATATGCAGTGCGGCTGTAGGCCTGAGGTGCACACAGGGACTCTTACCACTGCCTCGCTCCCTGGAACAGACAGACTTGACATTGTATGATGGCTGCCGTGGATCCAAGAAGGAGACATGAGCTTGGGAGCCCACTGCGTACACTGACCATTCACTACCATAGGCCAGACACACGTTCTCACGGCAATATGGCAGTTTGGTGGAGAGGAGCTGAAAACAGAGGAGAGATATAACCATGGCATCAGCAGAGAGGCATAAGCCACTGTGCTCGGCCACAGTGCAGGGATATTGTTTCTGGACTCCCACCTCGGTGGGCTTCCCTCATACAAAAGCCACATAAAACCAAGCCCTGATTACAGAAATAACACTGTTCCACCCCTAAGTATACAGGAGAAAGACGAGGTGACTGTAATAAACAGTAAGACCTAGATAATGAAGGAGACAGATTGGGGAAAAGGTAAATCTGGAATAAATAATCAGAAGTACCTGGAAAGGCCAAGGCCTTTCTTGGGAGGCTGTTTCAACTATTCAGGTTGTTTTTGGGAATCGTTCCAGGGCACTAAAGCCATGGTCCCACTCTGTTCTGTCTGCCAGTAAGGGCCACCTCAGTGCTTTTCAGATAAAGAGGCTGATCTCTGGCTACCCCCACCTCACCTTCCCACCTGAATGGGAATTGTATGCTATAGAAAGCACACTCATGGGACTAGCTTAATCCCAGATAACCCACATCAGCCTTAACCCTGGGTCTTTGTCAGTTAGCAAATCCTCAGTGGGTGCATACTACACATAAGACAGCATACAAGGTCAGTGGAGCTCAAAGGCTATTGTGACATGAAGGAATCACTAATTCCTGGAACCCTGCTTCCTCTTGCAAAGTCCTCTAGGATAAGAAGACAAAAAGCCGGGCACTGTGGCTAACGCCTATAATCCCAGCACTTTGGGAGGCTGAGGCAGGCAGGTCACCTGAGGTCAGGAGTTTGAGACCAGGCTGGCCAACCTGGTGAGACCCCATCTCTACTAAAAACACAAAAAATTAGCTAGCGGTGGTGGTACATGCCTGTAATCCCAGCTACTCAGGAGGCTGAGGCAGGAGAATCGCTTGAACCTGGGAGGTGGAGGTTGCAGTGAGCTGAGATCGTGTCACTGCACTCTAGCCTGGGCAACAAAGTGAGACTGTCTCAAAAAAAAAAAAAAAAAAGACGAACGATTCACAAGTAGGTTTAACTCT